GGGGGGCTGCGGGCGCCGGGCGCCCAGGGCTCGCTGGTCCGAGCGATGCTCCGTGTGGGTCCAGTCCCCACCGGAAGGGAGGCGCCACGGTCTCTCACCTTTCAGATCCCCCTTCCCCGGTGACTTAGCGGGCGAGGCCGGGCAGAGTACCCCTGGGGCAGGGGCTGGCGAACCTGTTTCACGGTGTGTTCGTAGGCCGCGGGGAGAGGAGAAGCCCGGGAGCGTTTACGGAGAGAACGAACCTAAGAAAGTGCGTAAACTATTGTGAGAAGAAGGAGCCAGCTAGTCACTGAACAGAAGGACCTCAATGGAGTGCTCATCAACGGGATTTGGCTCAATTTTGTCACTTTTTTTGCAAGCAGGATACACAGAGAACAAACACATAACTGAATGCTGTAGCCTGTGTGTAAAAGGGAAGTGGGAAATTCTGAATCGTTAAAGCAGTTATTAAATACTACCAATTCGTTCGTTAAAAAAAAAAAAAACTTGGCATAGTTTCCAAGGGCAAAGCAAGACAAGAAGTCCCAGTGCTTTCATTTCGCGGTGAGGCTTTCTGCCTGACGCACAGCCGACTCCTTCCCAGTCCTGCCGCTGCAGACCAGGCTGCACCGCTTAAAGTAATGTTCTCGGTGCAGCATTTGCAGAGTAAGACATTTTTTTTTTAAACTCTCTATTTTGCTTTAATGTATGCTACGGCCCATCTACCTCAATTTTCCTCTTGTAAGCAAATGACGCTTTTTGCCAAAAGGATAATTTTTGCAAACAGCTACACACCCCAAAAATGTCTCCTAGATGGAACAATACTAGTAAAAGGGAAGAAGGCTGTACAAGTGAATGCGCCAAAATATATGAGATGATTAATCTCTGCAGAAATGCAATTGTTGGTATTTACATCCATCAAAGAGTCTCCAAGTGTGTTCTGGGAAGCCCTAGGGCAGTGATGGCGAACCTTTAGAGCTCGGCGTGTCAGCATTTTAAAAAACCCTAACTTAACTCTGGTGCCGTGTCACATATAGAAATTTTTTTGATCTTTGCAACCATAGTAAAACAAAGATTTATATTTTTCATAGTTATTTTATATATTTAAATGCCATTTAACAAAGAAAAATCAACCAAAAAAATGAGTTCGCGTGTCACCTATGACACGCATGTCATAGGTTCGCCATCACTGCTCTAGAGACCACATGATGTGTGATGAAATCACTAAAGGCTAAGGGGATCTGTGCTTGTGTATTGTGTTTAATTGGCTTGGGTCAATTTCTGGGTTCTCTGTTCTGCCCCCACTGATCTATATGTTGTGGTACACTTACACAATAGAATACTATATGGCTGCAGAAAAAGAAGGAACTCTTACCGTTTGCAACAGCATGGATGGACCTGGAGAGTATAATGCTGAGCGAAATAAGCCAGCCAGAGAAAGATAAGTATCATGCTCTCACTCCTATGTGGAATCTAATGAACAAAATAGATCCAGAGACATAGAAGCATGGAGCAGACTGTGGAATCTCAGAGGAAAGGTGGGGGAGGGGGATTGGGTGGGAAAAGATCAATCAAAGAACTTAAATGCATATATGCATAACCCATGGACACAGACAATAAGGTGATGAAGGCCTGGGGTGGTGGTGGAGGCCGGTTAGAAGAGGTCGATGGGGGGGTGGGGAGGGGAATATGTAATACTTTCAATAATAAAGATTAATAAAACACACAAAATTTCCAGACTTGCCCGGCAAGTGTTGCTCACTGGTTGAGTATCGACCCATGAACCAGGAGGTCAGGGTTCAATTCCCGGTCAGGTATATGCCTGGGTTGCAGGTTCAGTCCCCGGTGGGGTATGTGCAGAAGGCAGCTGATTGATGATTCTCTCTCACCATTGATGTTTCTATCTCTCTCTCCCTTTCCCTTCCTCTCTCTGACATCAATAAAAATATATTTTTAAAATCATTCCATACTTAATTTCTAATATGGCATTTATCAATAGATATAACCCACAAAAATAAAATCTTTAGGGTCTTCAGAAATAGGAGTCTTAAGACTAAAGTGTGAGAACTTCTAATGTACATAATACAATTATGTAGTCCCCTCATCATGACTGCAGAGCGAACACCAGTGGTCCACTTGGCAGTTGCTTTGCATTAACATTTAGTGCTTTCATAGAAGGAAGAAAAAGAAAGCCAGGAGAGGCCTCAGAAAGAAAAGGCCACTCTGTCTCTTGCCTGAGGCCTGCAGCCCTGAATTGTGCTAACCTGTAAGTCACTGACTCTGAACCTTTTCCTTAGTATAAATCAGATACCTCATATCTTTGCAATTTTGGGCATTAACAAATAATTGTTCTTAAATTGGGTAGAAACTGTTTTTTACTCTTTTTCTCCAAGAGGTCAAGGTAGGCAGAATTCTAAGACTGATCCTTGCCCTTGTAAGATCCCTCCCCCTTTGAGTGTGGGGTAGAATCCAACCTGATGAGCGAATACAACTGTGATTGTTACATTATATGGCAAAAGTGAGAATATCCACATGGGCCCCACCTAATCACACCAGCCATTTCCTTTTAAAAGCAATGACTTTTCTTCTGGCAAGAGAAGAGGAAGTTAGAGATGTTTGAAGAACGAGAGACTTGGTCTACTGGTGCTAGAGGAGGCTACATGCCCAGGATGGGGTTCCCTGTAGCAGTTGAGATGAACTCTTGGCTGATAGGCAGCAAGGAATCGGGGATTTCAGTCCTATAATCACAAGGGCCTGAATTCTGCTGACACTCGAAAGGAGTTTGGAAGTAGGTACTTCCTCAGAGCTTCCAGAGAAGAGCCCTGCCCTGCTAACACCTTAATTTCTTGTAAAACTTCAGAGAAGCTACCCAAGCCCACCTGGACTTCTGATCTATAGAACCGTGAGCTGAATTGTTATAATTTTTATGCCATTAAATTTGTGGTAACTTATGCAGCAATAGGGAACTAACACAGAGCTAAATAGAATATATAGGGTGTCTCCCCCAAAATGTATTACACCCTTTAATGGCTGATAACTCAATATTAAAAATGAAATATATTTTAATAAACACTGCCTTTATAATTACTCAAAGTGTGTGTACTAGTATACACTTTCTTGGGTCACTGTATATTTTACAAATTGAGGTAATACTTACATAATGAGATTACCCATTCAACTTATTTAAGTGTACAACTCGGTGGCATTAGTGCATTCACGATGTTGTGCGACCATCACCACTGTCTAGTTCTAAGACCTTTCACCACCCCAAAAGGAAACTTGTACCCGTTAAGCAATCACTCCCTAATCTCCCCTTCCATGGCTCCTGGCAAACACTAATGTGCTTTCTGTTTCTATGGATTTATCTATGTTGGATAATTCATAGAAATGGAATCATACAATGTGAGACCTTTTGTGTCTGGCTTTGATTTAGCATAACATTTCCAAAGTTCATGGACATTGTAGTATGAATCAGTACTTCATTCCGTTTAATGACTGAAAATATTCCATCTTATCTGTATATCACATTTTGTTTATTCTTTCATCAGTTGATGGACATTTGGGTTATTTCTACTTTTGGGCTATTATGAATAGTGCTACTATGAACATTTGTGTGCACGTATTTCTTTGAATACCTGTTTTCAATAGCTTGGGGTATATAAGAGCGGAATTGTTAGCTCACTTTTTAATTCTGTGCTTAACTATTTGAGGAACTGCCAAACTGTTTTCCATAGACCCTGCACCTTTTAACATTCCTGCCAGCAATGTATGAGGGTTCCAGTTTCTCCACATCCTTGCCAACACTTGTTATTTTCCTCTGTAAAAAAACAAAATTCATTCCAGGAAGTGTAAAGTGGTTTTGATTTGCATTTACCTAATGATTAATGAAGTTGAGTATCTTTTCATGTATATCTATCATTTGCATGTCTTCTTTGGAAAAATGTCTACTCAAGTCTTTTGCCAACTTTTTAATTGGATTGTTTGTCTTTCTGATGTAGAGTTGTAAGAGTTCTTTATATGCATATTCTGGAAACCAAAGCCTTGTCAGAAATATGATGTGCAAATATTTTTGCCCACTTTGTAGGGGTAAATACAATGTCAACAGACGTTTTTCTCTCTCTCTAAAAG